CTGCAGCAGCCGGTGGCATCCGCCAGCAATCCGCAGCAGGCGCCGCTGCATATAACATACGGCACTAGCCTGGGTAATGAGCTGCACGCCTATCCCCAACAGCAGTTGCAGCAACAGCAGCAGCAGCAGCAGCAACAACAGCAGCAGCAGGAACAACGTACACAACAAAAACCACAACAACAAAAACCTCACTCACAGTCACAACAACAAGTACAAAATACAGTATTAGGCTTGCCTCCTGCCGTACCGCCGCCCACCCGCGGCCGTCCGCCCTTGCTCAAGTGCCGCTTCTGTCAGAATGGACCGCGTTTCTCCAACAGCCTGGAGTATAGTCGCCACATCATTGAGCTGCACCCGGCCGTGGCGCCCTTCAATTGTCCCCACTGCCCGCTGGCGTTTGCCGGTCGCAGCAAGCGCAGCCAGCACATCCTCAACCACCACATGGTGCAGCAGTTCCACTGTGGCCAATGCTCACTGATGTTGCCCTCGCAACGGGCTCTGGATTTGCACTTGCAACGCTTTCACATGCCGCTGCCAACGGAATCGACCGCGTCCAGCGAGCCAGCTGCTGGCGCTGTGCGCCTAGACGAGGTTCAACTGCAAATAGCCAACAAGAGAGAGTTCCCTAAACTGCTGCAGCAGAAGAAGTCGCCGCATATGCCTGGTGAGTTTTCAAATGTACCAAGTTTTTATAGCTATCAATCCGAGCCCAAAAATGAAACAAGCTGCAAGACCAACTATCGCTAGCTATATCTAGTTCACATCAATTAAGCGACAAATGAACCAGTGCTTTTATGTTTAATTAGTTATCAATTTTGTTTCTAGTTAATTGATGAAACTAACTGCAAAAACAAAAAACAAGTAATGTTCCCTTTTATGAGTGTTTCAGTTCTAAATCTAGTTCATTCAAAATGCGCTGAACTAATGCTTCTGCTTGTTGAACTAGATTTAGGCTCCATGTGCTCAAGATTGTTTCATTATCAGTAAAAGTACTTACATTCTGTTTAGGTAGCTCTAGCTGTACGACCCAATTATTTTGGGTCTGGGAACTGTGAACTAGTTTTAGTTTTGGTTTATAAAAGTAAAATATATATCTCATCAGTCCCATTTGTTCAAAAAATTGTAGTATTACATAAATTAAAATAGAAACTTCATTTCTCTAAAGATAGTTCCTTTGAATATAAAACAAAATTAATTATCTTTTGCATTAATTAGTTGACATAAACTTTGCATCTTCTTGTTAAGCTTTTGATTTCGTTAACTTCACTAATTTTTTTTCTTGAATTAACTAAATTAAATAACTATTTTGTTATGTTACATTTTTGTGTAGAGAATATTGTACTATGAGAAATTTCCTTCTACGAATTAGTTTCTATTTTGTATACATAAGATGATGATTATTAATATTTTTTGAATGAAGAACAAGGGCGTTCTGTTAGAAGAAACTTTGCCTTATACTGTTGCTTCGTAAATAAGTTAATTTATTAAACTGTCGCCTAATGTTTGTTAAAGTAATTAGTTATTGCCCAGCTCCATTAGCTTTTACTAATGCTTATACTCTATGCCTCTTTCTCTCTCCTTTCCTCATTGGTTGTCCTATCTTTTAACTGTGTTTGCCTGCGCATGCGTAGCTTTGGATCTTGAAACAAGTCTGCCACAGCCACGCAGGACGCGCATACTCTGCTGCCCGGACTGCGAGGACTGTAAGTATATAAATTTCTTTTGAAAAAAAAAATGATCCTTGAGTATTTACTACCGTTTACTAATGTATTATTTTTGAAATTTGTCTCCAGGCTCAAGTGGACACAGTCATGGCAGCGGCCAGTCGACGTACGAGGAGCTGACCAATTTGCAGCCACCGCCGACGGTGCTGACGCCGCCGTCGACAATTGCATCGGTGCCGTCGCCGCAGCCAACGCCGCACATAACGTTGCCCTCGCCGGAGCAATCGGAGCCGGACTCGACGACGGCAACCTTGCGGCAATTTCGCAAGCGCTGCGTGGCCAACTGCTCGACAGGAGCAACAACACCAATCGCAGCACCAACGGCAGCAGCTGCAGCAGCAACAATGCTAACCACAGCCGCATCGCCGTCGCCCTCCTCGTCGCCGTCCTCGTCGACAATGGAGACGAGCGTAACGCTGCAGCTGGGCAAACTGAGCAGCAGCCATCAGTGCGTGATCTGCGAGAAGCGTTTTACCAATATCATAGCGCTTCGCAAGCACCAGCAACTGGCCCATGATTCGCAGACATCCATGCCCTGGGTGTGCAGCATTTGCAAGCGTGGCTATCGGAAACGCACCGACATGGATAATCATATGAAATCCCATGAGCCCAAGGGTCGTCCGTACGAGTGCAATGAGTGTTGGGTACGTTTTCCGGAATTCAAACAGCTGGCAATGCACAAGTTCACCGTCCATGAGCTGATCAAGCCGCATACCTGCGATGAGTGTGGTAAACAATTTGGTACGGAGAGCGCCTTGAAGACGCACATTAAGTTTCACGGTGGTAAGTTTTTGGGTGCTCGCACGCATGCGGATGCGGTGGCTAACCGGGTGCCGGTTGGATGCTAGCTAAGCTTTACTATAAAGTACATATACATTATAGACACATTCATATATATATACATTTTCATACCTAGTAACATACACATAGATTTGATTCAATTGTAGTATTAATAGAACCAATAGCTCGTTATTTTGTTTACTAATCTTAACCCAAAAAAACACCTTCATCCCTTTTTTTTATGCTAACAGTTTACACTACCGTGATTATTTCCTCTAAAGGTAAAAAGGAAATCTAAACTCAGTGATACTTTTATTTATTGTGAATGCCATGCAAAGTGCCTACTTATAATATAATATGTAGCCTATAATTTTGTTGTATTGTAATTCATTGTAATTCCCTTTAAAGTATAAATATGTGAGTTTTATTCTTACGCTCTTGAGCGCATTTGATTATTCCCGTCTTCTTTGCGTCCCATTCGTAAACGCTTTGCTCTAAGGCTTATAGCACTTAATGGCCATGCATTAGAACAAATTATTTTGGTAAAATTGTACTTTGCCAAAAAGCATTTTAAAATTATAAGTCATCTTTTTGGAGATGCGATAATAATAGTAAAAATTCATTAAGAAATACTTTCTTTTACGTGTTACGATAACAAGAGATAGTTAACTCTTTCTCAGGCAATTATTTTGGCATAATCGAGAAATTCACGCAGCGCACAGCTTGACAGAAATTTTGCTTAAAACTAACCCAAATACTGCCTTAATTGCACCCTATATAAGGTAATATAGTCTAACCAGAGCCAGAACTTTATTAATTTACATCATACTAAAGCTTATCAAAGAATTAAGTATTGTAATTCATCGCGAGTTAAAACGCTTTAATTTACACTGTCAATCAATATAAATTAATGATCACGTTGAGTTGGGTATTAGCATAAATGAGGTACATGTACTATAATATGATAATCGGGTAGTACCAAGTTTTAAGTATTGTATGCAAATATGTATGGGTTTTGTGTATATAAACAAACAGAAATTAATAGTAATGCATAGAGACAAAACTAATAAGAGAGGAACACACTATAATTGTAGTTTTTAAAAAGAAATATTCACGTAGTTAGTGTTGATGTTTCAGATTGTTTTGACGTAAGCGTTCGAGAACCTAATTTGTTTAAAACCAGTTTGCACACCTCCTTTGGATTCGTTGCACTCACAGTTAACTGGCTGTTAACAAACTTTAGACAGTTGGAAAACTTTGACAAAAAGTGTGATTAAAAAATATTCGTGTTGTTATCCCCTTTACAACCCACATGGAACCCTAGAATATCAAATCGAAAACCAATATACAATCTTTCAAACTGCATTTCTATTGGGTTCACTGCACTTGCTGTTAACTGTCTGTTAGCAACATTAGAACATATGTTAAATCGCTGTTAAACAATTTTGTGTTAACAAATGTCTCCAACTGTGTTTCAAAGCTCCTCCAGACACAGCACTGTACCAACCGCATTGTCAACTCACGCTGTTGACCACATGTAAAGAATCTAACTGCCGCTTAGCTACAAAGCGAACCCCCAATTGATTTTCTTACAGAAAGCGGCTTCGAGTGCGATGAATGCGGCGAGGCATTCGCCTATATCAAAGATTTGCGCAAACATCGGCGCACCCACAACAGCGAACTATTTTACAAATGCGATTACTGTCCACGCACGTTTCTACATTTTTCGAGCCATCGTGGTAAAGTTTTAGCCAAAAGCTTCTGGGCACTGAAATAAAACCTAAACTAAGTAGTATCTAAATGTAGTGGCTAGTTCTAATTAGTTTAAATCTATTATATTTATATTTTTTTAGTTATTTAATATTTAAGCTCGATTGCCTGATGATACGCATAACACCTGCACCAGCTTTAGACATTAAGTAGAATTTAAGTCATAATATTAAAAATGGAAAAAACATTAATTAACTGAATTTGCTTTCATGTGCAGCACATATAAATACCCACCTGCCGCTGGGCGTATTCCTCAACGATAAGATGCCCAGCAGCGTGAGCAGCAAAATCGAGAATCCTTCGACGCCAGCAACTACCGAGGAATCGCTGCCATTGACGCCGCTTAGCAGTTGCAACGGCAACGGCGGCAGCATCGAGGATTGCCCCGGCTCTGTGGAGCTGGTGGAGAGCAGTGTGGCGCCATCGTTGGATATGATTGTGAATACGCCATAACGATTATCGCAGCTTTATTATTTGGTTTATCAGGAACCTGGAACGGAACCTTCCTATTACTATTGCTATGTCTAGCGATGGCTTCCATTTTGAAATACACACAGAGAGAGAAAACCCAGCACAACAGCAAAACTGTTGCAGACTGCATTGAATGCACAAAACTAGTTGTAAGCCACCACACACAAAAAATACTTAGTTACACTTAAGACTAGATCTAATATCAAAAAATGGGGGATATTCATGGAATGAATGTTATATATGTGTACTACGAAGTACTGCGACAACAAATTGTGAACTTTTTTATTATGGAACCTCATTTCAGGTGCAAACTAGATAAAACTAACATGCGGCACAGTTTTAAATATTACACTAATTTAAGACAAGTCTTGCTTACAGACAACCTAACTATTTTGGCTGAAGAATTGAATTGAAGAATTGATTCATAACGCATTTTTTAAATAATGGAACTGATGACATTATGATGATGATTGAACTCTACTTAATTTAGTTTTTAAGACGCCTATTATTATTGTACTTTATTTTCAATTGGTAAATGTTTGGCTCTCTGAGTTTCATTTGAACAAATTATGAAACACAAACGATTAATTAACTCAAATATCATTTACAATTTAGTTAAGGCTGAGCTCACTTAATTTGTAACCTTTAGTTATAAAACGAAATAGCGCTAGTGACAACAAGAACTACTACACAAACAACATTGTTTCTAATTTTTTATTTTTAAATATAAATTACGTAATAAACAAGTTATGTTTTAGAGTGCGATAACAAAAACAATCATGAGTTTTTCACGTTCACGTGTTTTCTTAATTAATTTTTTTACACGAAACAATTTGTATTTTAATCGTAGTACCAGTCAAGAAATAGTAAGGAGAAAGACATGACCAGCAAAAAGAATAAGGACCAGACACGCAAACCGGCATTGCGCTGCGTCGCCTGACGTATCTGCTCGTTGGCATCCTTGACGTTCTCCGTGGTGCCCACCACGGCGCTCACAATGCGCTCGATATTGTGTTGTTGCAAAGCAACCTGTTGAATAAACATAAATCGGGTTTAAACGCGTGCAGCTTAAGGATTGCATTCTGCTCACCTTCTCTGTAAATATGTCCTGCAGCTGTGCAATGTCCACAACGTTCTTTTCAATTTGTTCGACCTCCTCGGAGACGCCCTGCAGCAGATTGTATATGTGCACATTTTCAGCTTCGAACAGCTGCATATCCTCGGCGCTTAACACATCCTCTCCATCGTTCTCTTGCTGCTGCGCAGTCTTCTGAATGTCCTCGTCCAGTGCAACTTTCGCCGAGGAGTCAGCGCTACTTATCCCGGCTGGTCGGCTGCGTTTGCGCGTGCGCGGCTGATGCTGATTGTCTGTGGTCGAGCTGCTGTCCAACAGCGACTCCTCCTGCTCGTCATCCCACTCAGCCCAGCTGTCGTTGTTCCAATCGTTATCCTCGTCTGCTGCTGCCACAGGCGACAACTCTTCGTGGCTGTCAACGCTGTCATTGCTCAGTTGACGCTTAGCCAGCTTGCCGCTGTTGGCGCCGGCTGGACGCACTGGTATCTTCTTCTTATCCGCCGCCAGTTTAAGCAGCCTGTATGTTTCTAGCTCGTGCTGAACGCGATATTTTTTTTGATCCAAGTAGATCTGCTCCACGCTGTGCAGATAGCTGACCAGCAAATCGAGCACTGCTTCGATGTGCTGACGCTCCTGTGGCTTTCGTTTAGCGCTCTTCCAGTCGCTGCGCATCTTGGCCAGATGCTGTGTATAGTATGTCACGAATTTCTCCGATTCGCGATCAATCAAATCGCGCTCGGCGTCCGTCATGTGGGTGGCGCTCTTCAGGTGCTGCCCAATGCGCATATAGGCCGTGCGATTCTCGATAAGCACATTCCGAAGCGTTGTTATCTTGTTGCAAACATCCTTTGCCTGTTTGGCAAAGTCATTGTTGCCAGCGGTGGGCTTTGTGGTGATGGCGCCCGAACGTTGTTGCTTGTCCTGTGCTTTGGCTTTGGCGGCCGCCAGCTCAGTCTTGCGTTGCAGTCGCACCGTCATAACGCTGGCCTTAAAGTGCTGCGTTATGTCCATGGTAATGTGTTCTTATTTAAATAATTAAACTAACTGAAGCAACAACTCAATTTGTAAATTCCACATCATCATCAACAACAATTACCAACACTTGCTGACTGATTGAGAGGCTTTCAATAGAACTAGTTCCTTTCGTTCGTTTGCCAGCACTGTTACAATCTAACATGACTGCCAACTCTGTTATTGCCATTGTGAGTTAACATGCGACTCAGCTGTTCCATTCGCGCCAAATTTTTGTTGCGACTTTTAAAATTGTTATCCCAAACAAAATGCAGGCGTTTTTAAAAACTGGCAAATCCAGCTCTGGCAACAGCAGCACAGACAAACAGGCAACCAATGCGCCCACCGAACGCCGCAAACCCCCCGCACCATGGGTGGAAAAATAGTAAGTGGCATTTAAAACTCGAGCACATTACAACTGTTGTCATATTTGCATTGATTTTGCCGCATAGTCGCCCAAGAAGCGTTGATGACGTAGTTGAACAATCGGAGGTGGTGGCTGTGCTGCGCAAATGCGTCGAGGGCGCCGATCTGCCCAATATGCTGCTCTATGGCCCGCCTGGCACTGGCAAAACGAGCACCATTCTTGCGGCGGCACGCCAAATCTTTGGCGACATGTATCGCGATCGCATACTAGAGCTGAATGCCTCCGACGAACGTGGTATCAATGTGGTGCGCACTAAGATCAAGAACTTTGCACAGCTTACGGCAAGTAATGTGCGTCCCGATGGTCGTTCGTGTCCGCCCTTTAAGATTATTGTCTTGGACGAAGCGGACTCCATGACCCATGCAGCACAGGCGGCTCTGCGTCGCACTATGGAGAAGGAGAGTCGCAGCACGCGTTTCTGTCTCATCTGCAATTATGTGTCGCGCATTATTGTGCCCATAACGTCGCGCTGCTCCAAGTTTCGCTTCAAGGCACTGGGCGAGACACAGATCATTGCGCGATTGCAGCACATATGCGAGCTGGAGGGCGTGCGCATTGATCCTGATGCTTACAAGTCCATTGTAAGGATATCCGGCGGTGATATGCGACGCGCCATCACCACATTGCAATCCTGCTATCGCCTCAAAGGCGCCGAGCACACCATTAACACAGATGATCTGCTCGAGATGTCTGGCATCATACCGGAGCATTATCTGGAAGATTATCTTGAGGTCTGTCGCTCGGGTAACTACGAGCGTTTGGAGCATTTTGTGCGTGAAATTGGCTACTCGGCATACAGCGTTGGCCAGATGATGGATCAGTTCGTGGAGTTCATTGTCCGCTGCGGCTCCCTAACTGACAAACAGAAGGCCATCATATGCGACAAGCTGGGCGTAAGTTCCACGCTGTGGCCCTGTGTATTGGCTTAGCTAATCCTTAGTATTTTGCAGGAATGCTGCTACCGACTACAGGATGGTGGCTCTGAATATTTGCAAATCATGGATCTGGGCTGTACGATCATTCTCGCGCTTAAATGAAGTCCGAACTCCACTCACATGATCTTTTCCATTCAAACATTCTCAGAAGCAAAGTATCCTCTAGAAATTGCCGGGCATATTTCCGACAGACTGTTTTTTATATCGGGGAAACCTTAAGTCACAATTTGTTAAATTACTTTTTAACCATTAAAATTATTTTTTAATAAAAATGATGATATACATTAAGAGCAAATTTGTATACCCTGTAAGTTCTTTTGAACATTGGAGTCAGCTACTTTTTGAAGCGGCAGTTGGCAACGCTGCTTTGTTGCAATTGTATTTCAGTTAACACTAAATTGTTAGGCAGTGAAGTATACACTGCGAAAAATATCTGAAGTCTTTTTCTGTTGATCATAGAAAGTATATGCAATTGTACCTCGGGTGTTTAAATATTTGAATTGTCTTTCGATTCCTGACGTATTGTCAAGCAATTGAATATATAGATACACGTTAGCTAATAAACTCTACTTTTATAGTCATATGGAAATTGAACAAAATACAAAAGTTTTCGAAATGCCGAAACGTATTATCCGTTCAGATCCTTTAAATTTACAAATATATGCTTAATGTACATTAGTTTAGACATATATATTCTCAGTTCGCTGTAAATTCAAATTCCTCCTCCTCGCGTTCCCGCTTTACAGCCACGTTACTGCCACCAATGCTGCCCACGGCTGCCGCATCGCTGTCCACCTCCATTTTCATGTCACTGGCGTTTGGCTCGCTCTTGACCTCCATTGCGCTGACCGTTTTCGTTGCGGTTGTGAATTTAATGACTGGTTTGGGTATGGTAACCACCTGTTGTTTGGAGACAATTGAATGGGCGCGTTTGGGTCCATTGGCGCTGGACACCGGCTTCACGACCGTTTTCACAGCGCGTCCTTCGAGCGCGGATTTGGTCATCTTTTTGGGTTGATTTGTTGCGCGCAGCTTGTAGTTGACACCGGTCAGACAATAGCGATCGGGAGGCAGGCGCAGACCGCAATGCGGCTTGACGGGCGGCAGTGGCATAGCATTGCGCAGTTCGGCCATTTTGGCCAGCACATGACGTGATGGCGGCCCCGTGAAGCTCTTGTCCAGAGTCATCTCAGTGGCAAGGCGTACATCATCCAGATCGATGGTTTTCTTGCGCGCGTGATTCGCATATACCTTGGCGTCATCCAGTATGCAGGTCACATACCCTGTGGTAAAACCAAATTGGCTTTTATTCAAAAAAAAAAAAGTTGGAAGTTGTAGCTGCGGCACTTACGAAATGTGAATTCGAGCATTTGGTTGACGACGCGCGGCTCGTATTCCTGGATGTTGAGTTCCTTAAGTATGGACATAATAACCTGTGCATCCTTGGGCACATGTTTGATTTGTGCGCTGACTTTGGCTTTTTCAGCCTTTTCACTGCTCATTGTTTATTTTATTCTTATTTTTCAGCGCTGTTTGCTAAATGTCAGTGTGACCACAGGAGCTTAATGGGAAAATACAAAAATTATAAATACTAAAAATACATTACAGCGCTTTTGCAATGAGTTGGCAGCACTCTTACAAGTTACCGAACTTGGACCGCGTAAATCAACCGTTTATTATGTATTTGGCTAACCAATTAATTTGAAAAATATCATTGATTTTAATGACTAGTTTTTATTGAAAATATATAATACACAGCATATTCTGGCGCAAATATTTGTATAAATGCCATTTATGCATTTCTATTCAAACAATTCTGTAGTTAAATTTGTTGTTTTGATTTTTACATAAAAAAAAAATGCACTTTGGTCGCATACGAAAATTGTTTTCAGACAACTACAACTTAAAATAAGAGCTTAACGTTACATTTTCCTACACACACTGTGAAACAGGCGAATCGAATGCTCGCGAATTAGACAATTACATAATACAATTACGCATAACAATATTTAACATTAGGCATAGGACTTAATTAAAGTATTTTGCACGTTTGCGGCTTCTTTCCTGGTTTCTTCTCCACCGCTCGCACCGCCTCTTCGAACACCTGCGGTAAATTGATCTTCTTCTTCGCTGAACACTCGACCAATTGATGCGCATGTATCTCCTTGCGCAACCGTCGGCCCTCCTGTGTGGTTACAAACTTCTCTGAATTCGGTATACGCAAATCCAGCTTAGTGCCCACCAGAACCACAGGCACATTGGCGCCAAAGTGACGAATTTCTGGCCACCATTTACTCTTGATGTTCTCGAACGAGGTGCGACTGCTGATGGAATAGCATAACAGGAAGCAGTTCGTCTGTGGCAAAAAAAAAAGAAAAAAAGATTAGATAAGAACAGACAAACATTGTGCGTGTGTAGAAATACCCACATTTGGATAACTCAATGGGCGCAGCCTTTCGTAATCCTCCTGACCGGCCGTGTCCCATAGTGTCAAATTGTATTCATTATCATCGACTGTTATGTTGCAGGCATGATTATCGAATACAGTCGGTATGTACTCCTCGGGAAATTCGTTTTGTGTGTAGGTTATCAGGAGGCAGGTCTTACCCACCATGCCATCGCCCACGATGGTTATTTTAAGAGGGCGCAGACTTTTCGACATTGTGCAAATCAACTGAAAATATTGAAGAAAGCGGAATCGGCGCATTAATATGGGTAATATGTGTGCGTTGCCTTGCACCATTTGGTGGCATATGTTGAAGCGACATGCGTTGTTTATCTTGCCACACCCACAGCCCACTGCAACCGGAAATCTACTGTGTGAGTGTGTGTGTGTGTGGGCGCATTTTCTTCAATTTCGCAGGCCAGACAACTTAACATAAGACTTAACCGTTACAATTTTATGCAGCGGCTGTTATCAACAGCGCGCTGTTAACACATGAACTTCAAAATAATTAATCTAATCAGCAAAAGCTTAACAATTTTCATTTTTAAATGAAATTGCACATTGTACAAGCACTTGTGTGAGCAAAACAGCAGACGAGGGCATTAACAATTCCATTAAAAGTTAAATAAAACCCGCAAAAAAACTTTATAATGCTTCAATTGATTCTGTGAAATTCATTAGGCATTTTTGGGGCCTGTTGTTGTTTACGCCTTATATTACATAAAAACGTTTGAAAAACTTATGCACTTTCACCAGCCAAACAAAATGTTTCTTTTTTAATTAAAACTGGTTTTCAGTCAGCGTCAACCAAACGAGTTGTTGACCCAAAACATGAACTAGATTTCCCTACAGCATCTCATGTCCAGTGTTAAACAATGTTAAACACACAAATGCTCAATTTGCATTAAGTTACAGTTAGAGTCCGAAGCTCTTTCATTCCTCGAATACGCAGAAAACTCATACGAATTCTGGGAAACAGAAATCTTAAAATATGACTCATGCCATAAGATTGTCAGTCAATTGGCTGGGGCAACCTCTTATTACAATTATAAACAACCTGATTGAGTGCGAAATGAACAAATCTAAGAGCGGGTGTAGCTATATAGATGACAACGATCTGATTCTAGTGACTCATCCAACAGGTCAACCCACATAGTAAATAACAATAATACTTATTATATGCTACGGCAACGGGCTGCAGTTACAAACAGAAAACCGGTTATATTGACATATGAATTAATAAAGGTTGATCATCGTTTACCGTTCGCAGCAAGCATTTTCATTTGAACTTTCGTCTTGTGGCATGCCACAATACAAACACATTTCTACTTGGTCATATGCAGTTGCCTGATCTTTAATTGCAGCCGCACTCTTGATGTGGCTTCTTGGCGCCAACAGCTGATCTCTGAGTTCGCTGCCATGGTCATGCACCCCCCCCCCCCCCCACACACACACACACACACACACACACACAATTAAAGCTAATTGCTGTAGGGGCATCGCAACTGGGGTTAAGTGCTCACTTTGTAGTTCCGTTTTTTTTTTTTTTTTATTATTTTATCATACATGTGTTTTTTGTGCTGTACAGCAAAAATGTGTTTGCCATTTGGAATTTTATGTTTTAAAAGTAGATTGATCAAATTCATTTCATAAATTACTAAATTGCTGCCTACTCCTATGTTACCCAGATTGGGCACAATCTGAGTTTTCCACAATGGTTAAATGCTGGATTTGTGCCAATATATATTCATATGTGTATGATTCATTTAATTACAGCTGAGAGAAATTGCACTTGTTGTTGCTCATTCAAAAACTGTTCGATTACAGCTTTTGGAATTTCCACTCAGGTGTGCTCTGCCACATCTGATCATTCAGAACTTTTGGCAAAATTGCTTAATCAGCTGCCAATATGTATAAATAGCAACAGACCTTGTATAGTATATACATACAGGTGCACAATACACAATGTAATTTATTTGCACGCTAGTCACTAAAACAGAGCCCACATTTGGTTTGTTTATAATAATTTAAAAGAAGCGTCGAACAAGAAACAAGTAAAAAAAAAAACGCAATTAAATGCAAAACAAACGCAAGTGTTGTTTATTTATTTTTGTTCTGGTTCGGGTTGTAGTTGTTGTTGTTGTTGTTGTTGTTAATGCTACTTAATGGCGGAATGCTCCACTGGCGGGCGTTTAAATTTGTTTAGCATTTGCAAAAAAAAAAAGGGGGGGGGGGGCGGGTGGAAAATGAAAGCAAATTTTGCTATTTAGGTACAATTGCCTCTTCTGGCATGGCCTGTAGCTCAGCAATATTATTAGGATATGCACAAAAGATTGACAAAGTGTTATTGCCTTCGGTCTAGATCAACTATAGAGTATTATGCATGTGTGATATGTTTAACGGAAACGGAATATCAAAAGCAGACATCGAAATTGTAAGGCCCGAGAAGTGCTCGCATTGTAATTAATACACATAATAAATTATTTAAACATAATTACGCTTTCATAAAATATGAAATATACTGTACTGAAAACGACTTTTTTGTTATCGGTGCGGGGCAGGGACTGGAGTTGGGGCTGCGGCTGCGACTGCGTTGGCCTCTTGTAAACTTTACATATCAAGTTACGCGTTTATTGTTGTTGTTGTTGTTGTTGTTGCTGTTGCTGTTGCTACTGTTGTTGTCGTTATATTCTTGGAACACTTGCCACATTCACACTCTTTCCCAATGCCTTTGTTGCACTCTCTCTCTCTCTCACTCCCGCTGGCCAACTCTCTCCCTCCAACTAAAGCACTCGAAAATTGCTTTATACGAATTTATGGAACGTTCTTTGCACTGCTTCTTAGCTTAATCGACTTTATTGAACACACTCATATATATTTATATATACTTTAATCTACATAATGCACATATGTATGTTTATATGTATGTATAGTGCATATAAGTGAGACACTCTTCACAGCTTTTACAGCCCACTCCTTTGTGCCTTTATCAGCGCTTTGTAATCGCATCGTGCATCATACTATACAATTGCTCATATACAGCTATGGATGCTGTCACTACAATAAGAATTTCTCCATCGAGCCTTTTAAATATGTGCTAGTCCATGGGTGTGCAATGGAGCGTACTCTGATTTATATACTAATTATAGTCAAAGCTAAATTATGAGCTGCAGCTGTTTCGCCTCGTTTTTAGTTATAAATACATATTAAAAATAAAAAAAGCCCGATACTTGATTATAATCAGTTTTAAAAAAATGTCGAAACATTTATGCTTACGTTCTTATCACAGCTCATATAGATAGCTTAGGATTGGAATTAGCTAATTGAATTACTAATGAGAAACACTAATGAAACAAAAATGATGTTTATTTAAAAATAGCAATTTTTTAAGACCAAAGTACTTATTTCCACATTGAACAGCCTGTATGACACCAAATCTTTGTTAGATTTCCAACAATATATAAAGTGCGAGTACAGTTGTTCTAACATATATATGGCGTATGGCAACCAGATAGAAGTTTTGCTATTCATTTTCGCTGTTTATATGTGTACGTGTGCATGTGTATTTTGTTTTATGATTTCACGCATGTGTTTTCGTAGTTAATAAACCGATTAGATAAGAGATATATGTATATGTGTGTAGGTGTGTAGGTGTGTGCGATTATTCGTATCTGCTATATAAAAGAAATCAACTTGAAAGTGCGATAAGTGCAACTATATAGCTGGTTAGCTGCCCGACAAACAACTATATATATATATATACATATATATGGACATACTCTCGATATGATATAGGAAAATTTGTTGCGATTTGGTTACGGGATTCACGCCGCACGCGCTGTCAATTAGTTTAATTAATTGAGGTCGTATTTTATGGCATAGGTCGTATTAAATTGATTTGCTGTTGATTTGATGGGGATCACTGCCAGCATTGGGTGTGATGTGTTGGGGTGGGTGTTCAGCTGTCACGTACTTGAAGATTTCCTGTGGAAGCACACACACACACACCATAGCACGCCCCCTCTGGCCAGGCCAGAACAGGCGAGTTGGCCTTTAATGGCCATGCAGCCATATAATTGTTGTTAACTTAAAATGGTAACGGGCCTAAAACAGTGCG